ATATATATATATATATTTTTTTTTTTTTTAAACGAGAAGATCGGAGGATCTGCCAACAAGTGAAAGAAAGGCCCTCACCTTCACATCGTCTTTGAGCTCCGGCGCCAGGCTGAGCACCAGGAGGTAATGAGCATAAGCAGTGCCGAAGTCCTGGGCGCCCAGACAGTGCTCTGCGCTCTGCAAGGACCGCGACACCAGCTCGTCCCGGCCGGTCGCCCCGCCGCCACCCCCAGCGCCTCGGCGGTGCCTGGGCCGCGAGTTCGGCATGAGTGTCCGCCCTAAGACTGCGCGTGTAGAACCAACGGGAAGATGCTTCTGACAAACGGAACTCGAGAAGTATATTGATGGCTACACTTCCATTTGTCTACCTCGAGCTAGAGAACCAGTACAAGAAAGTTATCCTTCGCTATCAGGTGAGCTCGTCCGCCTCTGCCTACCAGTCGTCCTCCCAAGACTGCGCGGCGCAACGCCGCAACCGCAAACAGACGTCCGCCGCGGCCCCCGCTACGCGAACGTCAGCACGCCCGAACGTGGACACGTCGGGTCGCCCCCTCCCTTAGGAGGATAGACGCGAGCTGGCCACTGCGCGTGCGCAGAAGAGAAACATCTGTCTGTAGTCGGCTGGTAGCTTTGTCGCGCTTCTCTTCTTTCCCGCCTGAAACTAGAGCCTTCGATCTTCCTTCCCTGGTCTTCATAAGTGTATGATTTCGGCTACAGGACCCCACTATGCAGACTCGGTGAGCGCGAAGCTGCACACGCCCGTGAGTCACATGGGTGGTATGCGGAAAGGTGATCGGCCAGTTGTCATGCTTAAGGAATTTGGATTACAACGCACCAAACCTCAAAATCCAAGACTGGAAAGAATTGGGAGATAATAAAAGCATCTTAGATGGGGTAGAGGAAATGCTTTAATGCTTTCATAGGCATTATTTTAAATCATCCTCACAAAACCCTGTAAGGTGGGCCTTTGGATCGTGCTCATTTTACAGATGAAAAAGGCGACATCCTGAGAAGTTACTTGACCAAGGTTACACAACCAGTTAGTGACTCTGGCTCAAACGCAAATTCCCTGGCTACCTGTTTAGGTCTTTTTTAAAGCAAACTTAGAATTTATTTCACTGTTCAGTGTTATCATCACTGTACAGTGATTATATTAATACGTAGAAAAGGTTTTCAGTTGGGGGACCTAAGGGATAGGTTCATACCTAAAAAGGGAGGGGGCATAGGAACGACAGCTGAAAGAGGTCATTTTTGTCCCAGTTTCAAATACCTTAATGGTGAATATCTGTACGTAATAAGAAAAAAGAATATTTAACGTATCAAACTAACAAAAACGTTGGAGGCTCTTCCAAACTTGCAAAGGTCCATCGTTGGCATGCCTTTTTGCCTTATTTTTTGATCTATCTGAACAACCCACCCTCAGACTTCCTACCTATGTAAAACCTAATTAGTTCTTCAGAGCCCAGATTGCTAGGTTGTGAACTTCTCCCCTGGTTAAAGAGGTCCTCAAGGGCAGGTACTGTTCTTGTCCAGAGGTTTGGCACAATGGAAGGACTGAGATGTTTGTTCAATTTAATTGAAAGTATGTCTCACTCCCAGGTTTTGTATGTAGACTTTCTCAACTATTCAGGTCCATATTTCTCACCCATCCTGAATTGCTACTTACTGTTCTAAACAATTTAGGATTTAACTGTATCATATTTCCTTAACAAGACTTGAAACATGTAAGGCTTCTCTGTTCCCAGTAGGATGTAGCAGAATATTAACAGGCCACAGGATTTAAAAAAAAAAAAAATGCATTTTAGTCCAAGCTCAGTCCTTTCTGGCTCACCCAATAGCCTTTCATTAAGATTCATTATCTGTAAAAAGGCCTAATAAATCTACCTTTCTTACTTTATTCACAAAACTAATAAAAGCATCAAATGAGATAATATATATAAAAACATTTTATGTATAAGATATACATACACAAAACGTTATGTATTGCTACTATTATCTAAATCATTTTTTAAAATTATCTGGATTGTTTTTTGTGATTAGGTCACTGTCATGGATTGAATTGTGCCCCCAAAAAATATCTGTCAGCTTGGCTGGGTCATGATTCCCAGTATTCTATGATTGTGTACCATTTTGTAATCTGATGTGATTTCCTTATGTGTTGTAAACTCTATCACTATGATGTAATAAGATGGATCAGCAGCAGTTGTAGTGATGAGGTATACAAAATTGGATAGTGTCTTAAGCCAATCAATCTCTTTCGAGATATAAAAGAGAGAAGCGAGCCGAGACCCGTGGGAACCTCATACCACCAAGAAAGCAGTGCCAGGAGCAGAGCACATCCTTTGGACCTGAGGTTCCTGTGCAGAGAAGCTCCCAGACCAAGGAAAGATTGTTGACATGGACCTTCCTCCAAAGCTGACAGAGAAAGACTCCTTCTGGAGCTGATGCCCTGAATTTGGACTTGTAGCCTACTGGACTGTGAGAGAGTAAACTTCTCTTTGTTAAAGCCATCCACTTGTGGTATTTCTGTTATAGCAGCACTAGATGACTAAGACAGTCACTAACACCTTTAAGAATTTAATCAAAACTATTCAACCAGCTGGGGCCCTGGTGGCACAGTGGTTAAGCATTTGGCTGCTAACCAAAAGGCAGTTCGGATTGCCTAGCCATTCCTTGGAAATCCTGTGGAGCAATTCTACTCTGACCTATAAGGTCGCTATGAGTCAGAATCGACTCGATGGCAACGGGCTTGGTTTGGGTTTATTCAACCAACTAGGGATATGCATGACTGAAATTAAAACATGTTTATTTGGAAAGCAATAGGTGTTGGTGAGGATGTGGAGAAATTGGAACCCTCATCCATTGCTGGTAGGACTGTAAAATGGTACAGCCACTGTAGAAAACATTTAAACATAGAAATGCCATATGACCCAGCATTTCCACTCCTAAGGACTTGAAAGCAGGAACACATGTACACCTATGTTCATTGCAGTATTATTCCCAATAGCCAAAATATGGAAAGAACCTAAATGTCCATCAACAGATAAAATATGGTATATACATACAATGGAATAGTGCTCTGCCATAAGGAGAAATGAAGTTCTAATACATGCTACAACATGGTTGAACCCTGAAAACATTATGCTGAGGGAAATAAGTCAGTCACCAAAGGACAAATATTGTATGATCCCACTTATGTGGACTATCTGGAATAGGTAATGTTTAGAGACCAAAGTTTTACTAGTAGTTATCAGGAGTAGAAGAAAGGGGGAAAGAGGGAGTCATTGCAGGGGGCACTGAGCTTCTGTCAAGGGTGTTAGAAAAGTTTGGAAATGGCTGCTGATGATGGTTATGTAACATCATAAACATAATGTCACTGAATTGTACATAAAAAAATGTTGAAATGGCAAATTTTTGTCATACATCACAATCAAAAACATTTGTGAGACAATCAGAAAAAAATTTTTAAGACATGTTTAAAAAAATTTTTGATACACACAAAAAAAAACCTGTATGCAACTCTTTAAGAGTCAAATGTAGTTGACTGGAACCTGCCTCCAAAAGACAGAGACCTCTCAGTCTCTCCAGAAATTTAGGTTGGAGGAGGATCATTTAGACTTCACCGTTGGTAGTCACCTCTGTGAGTCACTGTTCAACTGAATTACTTCATCCTACAGGTCATCTTGTACTCCAGGGCATGCTTTCCCATTCCACAAGAGAAGGGGTTCTTTTTTTGTTTTGTTTTGCGTTTTGTCTTTTGGTCTGTTTGGTTCATTGAGAAACCCCCAGTGCTTAGACCACCTAGATTGCTTAAAGCTTAAAACCCATTGCCTCCAAGTCAATTCCAACTCATAGCGACCTCGAACCACTGACCTTTTGGTTATCAGATGAGCGCTCTAACCACTGTGCAACCAGGGTGCCTATCGCATGATGCTTAGAGTGGACATAGTTCTACTAAGTCATTATAGGCTAAGAGACAGAGGAGGGACTTGATAGGTAGCAGAGAGGGGCAGGGCAGAAATGAAAGAAGCCAACTTTGCTTCTTTTATCATCACCTACAGTATCAGCCTGTGGGTAGTAACTCCTGCTAAAAATATGTAAGAGATATTTCCCGCCCCTTGGGAAATACTTCACGTTATGTTGTGAGCTACCAGGTCTCACTATATTAAATGTGACTAAGTCAGAGAAATCACAAGGTGATTTTTTTTTCCTTTTGTGCGTTTCTTTGTAGTTTATCTATAGCTAAAGGACATTCTACATAAAGTAGATTATTTGAAAAAATAGGATTGTCACAAATAACAATGGAACATCTGGTCACCTTAAGAAACTGGAATAGAAATATATTTTGACGACTATTTTCTGTTCCTTTATTCAATCGTGATTGAGGCTTAGAATTACTGAAGATTGTTTGTATGTGTTGAAGGTTAACTGTATTTATTATATCTACCTTTCAGTCCTTTTTGAAGAGCTCTGTATCCCATCACACACACACACACATACACACACCAAAAAAACAGAAGTATGATGTAAAACAAATGCATAAGGTAGGTTCTAAGTCGTAATCTTTAAACAAGTATTTCTTTTAAAATACTGAAGGTATCACTTCTTTGTACCTGGTGCACCACCCCCCCCTTTTTCTGCCCTCACAACGAAGAAGAAATCAAAACTGTGATGTTTAACAACCTCTGAGAGTCTATTTGATTCCTTCACTTATATGTTCTTTTTCACCCTCTCAGAGTTCTAAGAAAAACCGTACTGGTGTGAAAAACCACGGCTGATTAGAATGCAGGTTTAATTGTGGTTGTGTTTCACCATGTTCTGGTAGCTTGTCAACAAACCACACATGCTAAACCAGGAAACAAAACCATTTGAAGGGTTCTCGGTAAACTTGCCA